TTTTTGTCTTCAAACATGCTCACTTCACCTCCTGATCTGGTGGCCTAAATTATTATAAAATTTACTTCTGCTCTTTAGCTTAATTTTATTCCTTGGGAAGAGCATTATTGTATTAAAAACATTGGATAGCTTGCTCATATTATGTGAGGTCAAAGATTTCATTTTAAAACTAAATAATGAAAACTTCCTCTGAGTTTATGATATATATTATGCAAAGCAATGTACTAATACATACCTACTTCTATATATACGGTCATAACCTATGAAATAGCAATGAATGAATGTCTAATATTAAATGATTTTGTAGAAGAAAGACACAGTATTAACTTTATAAAAAATTATTTAACTTTATTTATTCATTCATTTTTTTTATTATTTGGAGAGGTTTTTGCTACATGTGCTCGCCAGACAGACAGAGAGAGACAGAGAGATAGAAAGCGAGAAATCACCCCCCAGAGGGGATGGCCATGCTGTAATCCCTTCTCCTCCATTCTCCTCTCAGGATCTTGGGCATGCATGCACATGTGCCTGGCCTGAGTTTAAGCCACCGGGTCCGGGACGTGAACCGCGGTGGATTACATGGGAGTCCAGCGACATAGCCATTATGCTAACTGCTTTATTTTAATTTGACCAGGGAGAGACACACACAGAGAGAGAGAAAGAGGGAAAGCGAGAAGGCAAGCCACCAGGTCCAAGACTTGAACCATGGTCAGCCATGTGGGAATGTCCAGCACCTCAATCACCATGCCACCTGCCAGTCCCCAACACAGTATTAACTTTTATAACCTTCTATCAACTAAGGTAATTACTGGGAGCTAATCCTGTGCTAGTCATTTGTATTGAGAACTTGAGCCTTTAGAAATAATGAGTCAAAGGAGGCAAAACTTCTGAGGTTCTGAAGAAAATAATCAAAATATATAAAAGTATGTCTCCAATAATATGTTCAGTTATGAAAATATATATTGGGACCCACCAGGTGGCATGGTGGCACTGGACTCCCATATGGCTATGATTCGAGTCCCGACCTGTTGGCTTAAAAACTGTTCTGGACGTGTTTGTGTGTGTGCGCGCAGGTGTGTGTGCTCAAAATCTCAAGAGGAGAATAGAGAAGAGATGCAGATTGGTCACTTCTTTGGGGGAAGGGATGATTTCTCACTTTCCCTCTCACTGTCTCTCTGTCCCTCTGAGGTGAGTACATGTGCCCTATCACAAAAACCTAAAAGAAAAAAGAGAGAGAGATAGTATAGATTTAAATCAACTCCAAGAAACATAATGTAGAATATATTCAATACTACTATGCATGGTTACACTAAAAAATTGTGTTGCATGGTTAAATACTTTTTTGGTGTAAGCTAGGAAATATGACATTAAAAAAATTTATTTTCTTTATGTGTGTGTAAATGTGTCCATGTGTCCGTGTGTGTGTGTGTGTGTGTGTGAGAGAGAGAGAGAGAGAGAGACAGAAAGAGGCACCTTTGACAGGGTGTTCATGTACTGCTTCTTCCTCCAGTCCTGTAGGCAGCCAGGATCATGAGCCAGGCATGCCTTGATTGTCCATGGATCTTGAACCTGGAGCCTTCCTATAGGGCCTCTGCTCATACAGTGGTGCTCCTACTGCTGGCACTACTGAAGCTGGGCCAAAAATATACCATTTTCAATACTGTAGATGTCTTCCAGTAGTGTTTGAGTATTTGTTCATTCAATTGAATCTTTTGTCCATCTTTTGCCTCCTTACTTATTTCGTCTGTCACTCCCATTTTTATGTCTTGAAGCCACTTTGCTAGTCATCACTGCCAATTAGTTGACATTAATAAGGCAAACTAAGGGCTCACATTATCGATGTTCACCTATAAATATCTAGCAAACTGAGAAATGTCAAAGGGACCGTCACATCCTATATCCTAAGGTACCAACTATTGGGTTGTTGGAAAATCATGATGCAAAAATACATCATGACTTTTCCAGTGACCCAATATCTCATCATGGCCAGAATGTTTTTACTTCTTCCCAACCCTTAGTACTCTCCAGGAGTATTATTTTTTAAATCATATTTTACTGTTGATTTATCGAGGTATGATTGACATGAACAATGATAAATATTTCATGTATATAACCCAGTGAGTTTGGGAGTAACCATACAGCCCTAAAGCCATAGAAGTCATAAACAGATCCAGTACTTTCCAAGGTTTCTTCTTGCCTCTTTTATTATATTACATCATCATCATCATCATCATCTTGTGTATCTTCTCACAGACGACCTACTCTCTTAGCAAGTTTTAGGTGTACAGTCCAATATTGATTTTGTTTCAAGTGAGACTCCTATCATGAGAAAATTGAATCAAAGGTGGCTCTTAGGTGGCATTTTATACATTTAATGTTGAAATTACTGGAAGGGATTGGGGTTAACCTTAAATCATATCATAAGTGTTACCACCTAATTATCCTTTACATAGACTTTAAATATGGTCCCTTCCTCTTCCTTCACTTTTCCTGGCAGCTTTATTAATATCTCCCATTATTGTTCTGTTCAGCTCTCCTGGTAGAAACTATGTGAGAACAAGTTTCCCAAGGGAGCTGGCATTTCCTTGAACAGCCTGGCAGCTGCCTCGGGCAAAAGTGACCCTGCATTTTCTTGGCAGCAAAGTAATTTCACCCATTGTTCTCATTCATTGGCTGAAATGCTAGTAGCTTGATGTGGGTCGTACTGAGTTTCCGTCTGACTTAAATATAACAAGAACAGTTTTAAATGGGAGGAAATACTTTCAAAAGGAAAAAAAAAAAAGAATTCCCATAGGATAAGGAATGTAATAAATTAATACACTATTTGTATAACCTAATTAAGACTATGTTCAGTATTTTAGTGTCCGCTAGCACATTGTGTTAGTAGTTTCATGTGTTTGATCATATTTTCTTCTTAAAATTGTTGCTCATCTGTTGAACATTATTTTAAGCCTCTTCTCACACTTTAACCTTGTTATGTTCTTTACTTTTCTAATCTCATATCATTTTGTTACAGAAGGATTTTCTAGCTTTTCCCAAACGGTGTTTTTGAGAGATTTTTTACAAGTACAAATATGTGGTCACTGATAGTATAGTTCAAGAGGACATGATCATGGAAAATTTGTTTGGGTCATATTGGGTTGTTGGAAAAGTCATGATACATTTTTGCATAGAAAACAGAAAATGTATGTCATGATTTTTCCCAACAACCCAGTATTAACCAGGGTAACAATTGAATTGTAAATGAGCAAAATACAAAAAGCCATTGTACTGTAAAGATCTTGGAGTGTTGACACAAGCATATATAGTATAATGTGCTGAGATAAAATAGGTTTTTGGTAAAGAAAAATTAGTGAAGATTACCAAAAGTTGAGCTTAATTTTTCTCTTTGAGTTTTACCAACCGAACCAAGCCAAATCAAAACAAAAAACTGAAAAGAAATTTAAAGGTATTCAAAGGCTGAAATAGATATAAGCCAGACCACAAATTAACCTTTTTAGAAATATGAATACACATATATTTCCATTGACATATATGTAAGAATGGAGACAGATGTTGAAATAGTTATGTACTTCCTAATTTAAAAATAATAAATATATGGGGTGGGAGGTAGCATAGTGGTTAAGGGTGTTGGACTCCCACATGGCCGACCATGGTTTGAGTCCTGGACCAGGCAGCTTGGTTTCTCACTTTCCCTTTCTCTCTCTTTCTTTCTCTCTTGTTCTTGCTCTGTCTCTCTCTGGTCAAATTTAAATAAATAAGTTAATAAATAAATAAACTTAAATAAAATAATTCTTAAAAAATAATAAATATAAATTTGTCAGAAATTATTTTCAACAGTATCTACACTTGCTATCAAACTGAAATCCTGTTCACTCACCCAAGCACTGTGAAGACTGTAGACAGATGATGTCAATAAAGCAAAGTACAGTTTTATTGCAAGGAGAGTGACCAGGTCATGCTGACAAGGTCTGGCCTACTCATGTGCTTTTAAGTCAGAATTAAGGGTAGTAGTCTCAGGCGTGTAGTCAGGTCAATGATTAGCTTAAGAAGGCGTAATTATCTCATGGGCCTTCTTGATTGGTAAGGCCTTAGGTAATCAATCTTCATTCTGGGAATGGGTAATCATTAGGTCTCTGGTGCCATTCTGCCAGAAGTCCCTGTGTTTACAGACAAAACATCTTAAGTATTGTTTTAAGAATTATTTTAGTTAGCGTAATTGTTATGTCGCTGGACTCCCACATAGTTGACCATGGTTCACGTCCCGGACCCGGTGGCTTAAAACTCACGCCGGGCGCATGTGCGTACGTGCCCAAGATCACGAGAGGAGAATGGAGGAGAAGGGATTGCGGCGTGACCATCCCCCCTGGGGGGTGATTTCTCGCTTTCTGTCTCTATGTCTCTCTCTGTCTGGCGAGCGCACGCATCCTATAGCGAAAACCTCTCCAGGAAAAAAAAAAAGAATTATTTTATTTAACCTCATTTTATTTATTTATTTTTTAAAATTTGACAAGAGAGAGAGAGAAAGTGAGAAAACAAGCCACCAGGTTTGGGACTCGACCAGCAGTTGGCCATCATGTGGGAGTCCAACACCCTTAACCATCTGCCAGCCCCCAACAGCTTATGTATTGAAATTAAAACCTAATTTTTTTCTGGGCCAGCTAGTAGTATGGTGGCTAAGGTAGCTAGAACCCACATGGTCAACAGTTTAATTGAATCTCAGAAACAGTGGCTTAAAAACCAAACCAAGTATGTGTGCATGCATGCCCCAAAATCCTGAGATAAGAATGGAGTAGAAAGTATTGCAGTGTGGCCGTAACCCCTGGAGGTGATTTCTCTGTCTCTTCTTCTGGCTCTCATTCTCTATAGCAAATTAAAAACAAACAAAGAAAGAAAAAAACCTTATCTTTCCTTTAAATGAGTTTTAGATTTCTTATGGCTGCATTCATGGCCAATGTTACCTAATTATCATAGCCAATCTCTGAATCACATCCCTTACTTTAGGCTATTATCGAAGCTGCAGCTGCTTCCGCGTAGCTGCTGTGGTCAAAGAGGAGTTCAGAGTGAGTTTCTCCGACCGTCACCGTCCGGCCTGGCCTGCCGTGGCTGGTCTGCAACATTGTGGGGAAAGAGACGTGGCGTGGCCAGGGCTTGGGAAGGTCGTTAGGAACAACCCTGCTGTGTTGGCCGTGCAGGGGGATGAGCCCAGATGGCAGCCACTTCTCGGAGGGAGGACCCCGACTGCCGTGACCAGTGAGGACAGCGGCGGCCCAGGCCGGTGCAGCTCCTGGCAGGCGGCTGCAGAGCCATGGGGCCCTTTGCTTCCAGAGCGCTCACAACAAGACCTGTGTTCCTGGGAGCGCCTGCTCTGTAGAGCTGGGAGATACAGGAAGGGCAGCACAAGGAAAAACAGAATTCCTGGTGGCAACAGCTAATGTAGCTCTGAGTGGTCAATAAAAAGAGTCTGGCAAAAAAAAAAAAAAAGGATATTTGTAGTTAAATAAAGCTGAAAAACACAGAATGCCATATCTAAAATAAAATATTATTAGGATTACAGATCTTGAAACTATTTATAGAAAGAAGAAAAACTGTTTACTTAGCTTAATGGAACACCTCTGAAGTTGGACCCTTAGTGTAGACAAACTGTGTCTACACTATATATATA